AAGGTTTTGAGTTCGCTCTGGTTCAGTTGTCTGTTGTATAAAAGAACGTTGGTCACTGTTACATGGCCATCCGTCTCCAGTTCACTGGTTCCATATCCACCAATGTAGAAGTGTGAAACAGCGAGGGACCTTGTATCGTATTGAAGCTTCTCCCCTGAGCATGCCAAGGGCTCCCCGTCAACATAGATCGAACCCACTCCGTGTTCAAAAGTGAGTGCCACCTGGTATGCCTTGTTCAGTTCCCACGATCCGTTAGGTGCGGCTTTAATCTTCCCGCATATTGGGTTCCACTGCTGGTCGCTGTTAAATGAGAGTCCCAGAAGCTTCTTGTGACCAGCCTCATCCAAACTCACTCCCAATAGTGGGACTGGGTTGCCGACTTCTGGTAGCTCAACGATCTGTACCGTTGCTACCAGCGTAAACATGTAGTTTGCAAAATGGTATCGCTGGTTCTGTCCCTGCTTACCTACTGGCCAAAGTGCCCCTGCACCAACTCCTTTGAATTTCATACCATTGGGAACCTTCTTGGCATTTTTCACCCTGGCGTCCACACAGCGGTACGCGTCCTTCCACTGTTTACCGTCACCACCATCGGAAAGGAAGCCAACAAGTCCAGCAGTGGGGAACGGGAGGTCGCAGTCACTTGCACCAGCCTGTGTCTTTGGGTTGACTGGGGTGCAAATGTCTGAAAAGTTCTTGTCCTGCTTGATCCAGGTCTTCACCACTGACTTGATCAAGTTTAGTTCTTCTTTTAGCTCCAGAAAAACAAGACTGTAATTCTCCTGAAGATTGGTTTCGTGCAAACAATACAACTTGTCATCCTTGTAGAGCAGTGAACTGTAGGCGGCGTTCTCATCACGAATGGAAATCTGACCAATATCAAATATGCGGTTGTTGTCCGTTACCCATAGGTGGAGTCGGTCACGGTTCCATCTACCCTTGAAATTCCGGGGGTGTGTAAACAACATCACACGCTTCCCCTTAATCGTTACAGGAATGAAGGGACTCTGACTACCAGGTCCTTTACGTGATGGTGAGTTGCCCCACACTCGGGAGAGTGTACCAACAGCCTCTGTCCATGTCTCCCCCAGGTCTGTGGACTCAAAGACTTTGCGGTAGCCAATGTCAACGCGAGTGTTCATGATGAGCTTCCCCTCCCATTCAAGAATAGAAGATTCAGTGCAATCCAGTGCAGTGATACCGTTTGCGAACTTCCATGTTTCACCATCATCCTGAGAATACATAATCATTGCAGTGGTCCTCCCAATTGAACTCATTGCCTGGACTGGGAACACAAGAGTACCGTTCGTTGTTACAATAGAAACCCCTACACCGCCAAGATATTCTTTTAATGACCTACCTGCAATCTCTTCAGGGAAAATAGATTTTAGTGAGACAGGATCGGTCCATGTAATCGTTGCGTTCACCTTACCATCTATCGTTGTCTTCTTAACCTCACCAACAGAAAGCACAGGCTCCCAATCATTTCCAGTAGTGTGCTGATTCCAGTTATTGGTCGACTTGTTGTATCTTCCCAGAAGCATGTAAATCTTGTTCCCCTTTACGATGACTGTAGGGTCCACCACACGAGAAACGTTACTCGCACGAGTGTTCTTCACTGCAATTTGTGTTTCCCACGTCTTCCCATCGTCTACACTGAACTTTACCACTGTCTCGATAAAGGAGTTGTCGCTAGACGTATTATAACGGGCGTCACCGATGGCGACCATCACACCATCCACGTCAATAAGGGAAGGAATACGGAATGAATGGACTACTCTTTCATATGTCGTCCCATTATTATCTTCAAATGGAACTGTCGTCACTCCTCGTTCAAAGAGTATGACTCTGCTTCTCTCGCGCTCTTCTGTGGACATGGCGTGAGAGAGGACGGCGCTTGAGCACAGAATAAGAAAAAACACGAGGAACATTCTGCAGGACATTGCCTTATTTTTCCTCATACCTTGATAATATTGTGTCATCCCTTCCTTAATCTCTTTATCTGGGTGTTTATGTATTTTAGTGAGTTATTTAAAGACACTGGGTCTAAATATTAATTCTCTTGTCTCTTAGAAGAATCATTTTTTGCAGAAAGCAGGTGAAAAGAAGGAAGATACAAAGAAGTATGTGACATTTAAAGTAGCAAACACCAACCTGTGGTGCAAGAATTATTATTGAAAAAGTCTTTCCATTTCATATTTATTCAGCCCACTATTACAGTCTTTTCTTTTTTTCTGATACTGACATATGTACATATACACACACTTTTTCCGAACATGCGCCTGGATTCAGTTCTTTTTTTTTTCTTCTATGGAGGGAAAAAAATACAAGACAAAAGTAAAATTTCAAGAGTTAGACTTAATGCAACCACCTTCCGAGCGATACACCTGTCACTCGTTTACTCACCGTTAAACCATGTAAATCATAAAAACTAATCCATGATGCACAATTCTGGTGATTACTTAAAAAGTAGCACTCTTTTTGGGGGTGTCCCGTCACTACTGGACTCCTCCACGTGGAGGGTAGTGAAGGTGGATGGGCCGGAAAAAGAAAAAGAAAATCACCCCATCCGCTACCTCCCAATGAGGTTACCTTTCGAGAGAAAAAAAATAAAAAGAAATCATAGGCAAAGAAAAAAAAAATGTAAACAAAAACATTACCACTCTCTTTTATTTAACCTCATCCTGTCACACATTATTTCCACAAGCTTTTAAAAATAATATAGTCTAGTCTTTGTTTCCCCCACCCCCTCCCATACAAAAAAAACAGAATAAAAGTAAAAAATAAATAAACATAGATAGTTTTTTTTTTTATCTTATTTTCTATTTATCACTATCAACAAGAAAAATAAAAAAACAGCAATACACTGTGATGAGTTTCAAATACTCCCCATTTTCTATAAAACCGTGTTGCTACCTTGCAAAAAGGTATTGAAAGCGCTTTAACCCGCCCCAGCGCGCGAAGCTGAGGCGGTTCTTCAAAACCCACACCTTAACACACAAGTCTTTTCAGATACAAATGAGAAAAAAGAATTATACAAATTAAGAATGATACGCAGCAAGACCACGCCATTCCTACAGCAAGCTCTCAGTATGCAATCCGAAAAGGTAAAAATCCTTCCAATGCATGCCTGTTTTATTATTTGGTGATGAAAAACTCCCGAGTATCTTTGTGTTTCTCGAATACCAAATTAACAGGCGTCCGTCGTTTCTGAGCGCTGTAGAACCCTACAACGGCGTCACGCATATAGGACTTGCCAAAGAACAGGATCGGTACCGTTCTAAAAAGTATAGATAAGCAAAAGTTTTCCACTATTCCCTAACCCCACTCATTTTATAAGTGAAACACCCCAGGGAGCCACCCCCCACCCCTCTCTCTTCTTGTTGCGCACAAGACGCTGACAAGTTGGCCGCCCGCCTTGGGTTGTG